CACTTTCGTGTTTGCATTATGCCGCTCAGATTGAAAAACATCCTGTGGGTTTCAGTCTACTAATTTATGGTCTTCTCTAATTGCATGTCCGACTTCGATCGTCCCGTGCAAAATAGACCACACGACTGCCGGAATAGATCAAATATTTTCGCCTCCCGAGTATAATTTAAATTTATGCGCAAGCGAATGTATCGTTAAATGGAGTCCCTACAGCAATCACATCGAATACTCAAATTATACACGACATGCTGGAAGGCCTTTGCCAAACACCCACGTAAAATATTTTTACAAGAGCTTCTTGGATTACAGCAAGACTCATCTCATCCAAAAGGCGCACCCAAGCAAATTGGTTGAGAACATGATATTATTTTTAGCTGCAGTTCTCGATCTTACGTTTGACTAGCCTATCGATCCCTCAAAAGTTGTTACAGTAGGTGGCTTTTAACCGCTAGTGCTATTCATGTTTGGCGTAAAGCAAGCTTAAACATTTAGTTATGCAGTTATTACTGTCTAAGAAAAGATGCCATATTTGCCCGAATTGATCAGCCTCAATTTCAGTCCGAACGCGTCCATTGTTTGTTAAAGCTGTTTCTGTGGTATAGTAGCTAAAACTCGACTTCTTCAATGACGACTGTATGTATGTTAATATAAGTTGGGTAGAAAACCCCACTTTCGGGGCAGTTATTACGATGTTTTTCATTTCTGATTCATGGAGTTATCTACCTTTAAAAAGTGAAAAATCAATGTTAAGCAACCTGCTCCCAAAATCTAGTCCTAGTGCCTGATCCGCTTTGGCCTCACAGTGGTACCTTCGCTGCTTTACATTCCAGAACTCTTAAACTTCCCTCGATTTGTGCTATCCGAATTTCATATAATTTAATAATTGTATAACATTTACTGTGAATGTGCCGAGATAAACCGGTTACGAAGTTTGATACATAAATTAGTACGATTTTTAAGTGGGTAATAATTCTAAAAGATTTTCTTGTAGAAGAGCATGTTAACTGGTGGATGTCAAAACGTAGCACATATGCGCATTTTTGACAAGTTCTAGTAATTTAGCAATAAATGCGGCTGACGGGTATGACAGGCGAACAGCGTTTGGCTCTTATTTGACTACTATAAAATCAAAACTTTTTAGAAAGTTTCCCCGGTTTAAATGACTCCTTTCAGCTTCAGATGCTTAACAGTCGTTTTTAATCAAACTAAATAGAGTTGACGCTTACAGGACCGCAGGAAGAGTCCCTCTACATAAACTAAGAATTGCGCTTGAAATGCTGACCGAAAGTGGAAACATACGCTAGTCCTTTATAAGTTAATGCAACAAGAAGAGAAAACAACGGAGTTTAAAGTGTTTTTTGAGGGGCAGGAAAGAGGAACGGTGCTGTCGAACACGTAGCCCTACGTCCAACTCACACGTTGTCAATTTTTTGTGAGGACTCTCCTTATTCCAGATAACTGCTTATACCAGAAAACTAAACGATGCGAATTCTACACAACATGATAGAATGGGGCATTCGTCTGCCCGGCCATTTGAGAGATCGAATTTTTATTGACCCAGCTGTAAAATTCTCGACGTCTTGATAGAATCCGAACCCAAGACAGCAAGAGGAAGGCCTAAACTACGAGACCTCGCCAGAAGTCGGGAGTCAAATTACCCGCCCAATGTACTGCAACGTCTGTAATCCACCAAATCTGATACAACAAGTTGTCCATCCAAGCAGGATTTCCCAGATAATTCACCTAGAATCCGCCAGATTATCTGCCAGACTAGCTCAAGTGGCTAGAGCGTTGACTGTATTAAGGCCTTCCCTTTGCCGTCGAGGATTCAAACCTTACCGAGACGCCCAGTTTTCACCGTAGAGTCCATTTGAAATGTTCAAAATCTGCCAAAACATCCATTAATGAGGTCAGCTTGTCAAAACTGGCCATACGAATAGACCCCAGCATTGTTTTCAACCTTATTCGGCACACATATTTTTGTAAGAGTTTTTCAGTTACGCCTGTGGACTTAAATCGGACTGTTTAACGCAGCGAATTCAGAAAGTATTTGTTAACTGTTGCGCAACGGAAAACGATTAAAATACGCAATATCGGCCTCCCATATGATATGGACACTGGTCTGGATTGTTTTTCACGGGCGATTGAAGTACAACACGAACGATATGACACTAGTGCCTCTCAGACGGGCAATTTTTAGTCAAACCTAAGACTGTTTCTGCGACGTCTATTTTAAAAGAACTTTTGTATTTTTTCAATAGAATTCCTACGCTAGGAGACTTGGGGAATATAAACCAAAATGAATTGGAACGTGTTCTTATGACGTAAAAGGCCCTAACGAAACTAAATAAGTAATTTTGCAGGTAAGCTGTATTGGTGTACTACGCTGCGGAAGCATTTACTCTGTCAGCAATGAGATTTACTTTGTTCTAAAAAAAAGTTGATCAATAAGTGTTTGTGTCCTGCTTGACTGCCATTATTAGCATAAATCTGGCTTTATTTTATGCCTACTATGCATACATTCCATTTTACTGATATTTGCACACAAACACAGTGATTAACTGGATGGTGGGAAGCATCTTCTTCATGAATATATTAGCCAAATCGTGAAATTTGAAAGTTCTTCCCTTTGCCACCTGCTGCCAGTGTTTTCAATGCAAAATTTTAACCTCTATCTCGATTCACGACTGGACAGCCTCACATGCCGGTACAAAAAGAACTCCCATGTTGACGAAATATCACACACATGGATTACCATCCGGTTTGTTGGGCATGGATGTAAAAGTCTACATGAGTAGTCATGTTGCCACTTCTAAATTGCTGTTTGTGAATTGTTAAAAAACTGTTTCAGTCAAGTTGTGCGACATCAAACGGGCCAAATTTGCTACATCGGTGATGTCGTTAGAGCAACGTCTGAGTCATCTTTCATAGAAACATTGCCCGGTGAACTTGGATTAAATTATTTCTAAGATGCTAGCAGCGTTGGATATTATAGCGTAGGTAAACCTGGATTGTAGGCAGAAAGCCTCCTCATAAGCCAAAGAAGTTCATTCAAAAACCTTGTATTTTTTATTAGTTGCTTTAATGGCTTCATTTGGAGCGCTTACAATAAACGTGACGTTAGGTAATGCGTAAAAACATAAAGAAAGTTTTTTCTCGGAAGAACTCAAGGCTTTAAAACAGCAATTCGCTAAATACGTGTGAACCAATGATTTGACAGAAGACTGCGACTAGCTAATGAAAAGAATGCCAAGAAGGCTAAGTGTTCCACGAAAATCTTCAATCTCTTCTGACTCATATATTTGTGTGCCGAATGTGCTGACGGCAGCGGTAGACTCGACAGTTAATTCTGTAAGATGTGCCTAGTTAAATAAACTTTTGCGTACTGTACGCAAATAGACCTGTTGTTTCTTAGAATATTATGCCTTCTTATGTTTAAAATTGAGTGCGCTACAATCGTTTGCTTGAAATCAGTATTGACAGAGCTATACTTAATTCTGTTTGCTTGAGTGTCCGGCTGCATATTGGTGAGATGAGCTTAATAGTTTTGATTTTCGAGCCCTTAAGTTTGTTTTATATGTGCTTATATCTATCACCTGCTTGTCCTACTTTTTGCCCACAGTGCGCAACTAGACCTGTTGTTTTTTTGGAAATTTATGTCTTCTTTACATGAAATCAGACATTTTATTTCCTTTCAATTACTTTCATTCAATCAGCGGATGTGCATTTACCAAAATGTCCCTAACCTGAAAAGTGAAGTCACATTTTACAAAAAAACTATTATAAAAGAATCTACAAAATCCCATAATGTATAGTAATCAGTATCAATACAGCGGAGATAAGTTAATGTGTACCAGCCGGTTCAATATAAATATAATATAATTTACCTAAATTTTCTCTTTATAAAGGAGTTGGAGAACGAACGTTATTTTATAAAATCTAGGAAGACTGTTTCTGACGAACGTTGTGCTTTTGTTTGGTGAGGCAAATGTTTTAGCATTCTAGTGACGAACTCTTTTTCATCTTACAAACCATATATTAGCAACAGTCGTACAAGGTTCGCCGTCTACATCGGTACTCGTGTTCACTTGAATGTCAGCATAAAAGACCCATAAAACTACTCAATCTGATGTAACTTAAACAACTGTTTTTCTATAGACTGCAAACTAAGGCAGTCTCGTAACATAATTATGCTTTCTTTTTGAGACTCCTTTAGGGGAAAATTTTGTGCTCTATCTTTGAGTGCACTATTTATTATGCGCATTCGCAATTAAACTTGATTTGTTCTTAAAGGGAGTAATATTTCCTTAAGCACCATTAGCCCAAACATGTCCATTTAATTTAATACAACAAAAGTCTGTCTGCCTGCACATAGAATAATATTAATTTTGATTTCTGGTGCTTGGTGGATAAATTGTAAATAGTAATCTCGCCACAAACACCACCATGTACACATACATAATGACAGTCTATTCATTTGCGCCGAGGCACTCTAGTAAAGTTCGATTTCAAGGTCACATCAAAAAACAGAAGAATAGGTGATACATAATGAAATCGTGTGCCCGGATAAAAATAGTGCCATATAAATTCTTTTGCATTTACATTTTTCTCATTCGAGCTCCATAGTGCATTTTTTTTGTTCAGTTAACACCAGCTTAATGTTTAACATTATTTTTGTTTAAATTGTTGTACTCTATACGTTCATTTATAATTGGCTGAGGTTGAATTGGCTATAGCCATTAACAGCTTCAAAACCTTGAGTGAACCCTAGTTTATGCCTTGCCGTTTTAGTATAGATAATGGCGTTCGTTCAAAACACCCGAAGCCGGGTCCATACGTGTGCCAGAGCACATTACCTGTGCTGTAATGTCACGGCTGCCTTTTTCTTGGTCTTCGGAGTTGCGTTCATCATTGCGGGCAGCATCCTGGTTGACAAATACAAAGACAAATTTTATCAACACGTTTCCAAACCCAGTTTGCCATCCTACCCAAATTGGGACATGGATTACGATTTCGGCGATCACTTTGACCACGATGACAAAGACGACTGGAACAACGACAATGGAATGTGAGTACTCTTTTGCATTAACTCGAGGTACTGACACATAATGTATCATGCGCAGAAACAGCATAACCTTGTTCAAAGTTCCAGGGCACAGTGTAAAAACCGATTAAAAAGCAAAAGCTAGTGCAGATTGGTTGGTACCGACAAGGACGTAGGAGACGGGAGTGGCAATTTCAGGCCTAATAGCCATCGTCAGCAAGTCTTACCTTACTTTGGGTTTGGGAGCATTAAAAACGTAACACAGGGTTTTTGGTTATTAAGAGCTAATAATTCTGACGGTCCAACCACTCATTTACAAGACAGATGTCCTGTTGGCCGCGATCAGGCGAAGTGACTACGGTTTGAAATTCAGGTGCCCCCAAACCTGTGATTGGGTAAGGCTGACTGACTGAATACGTCAGAAATGCTCATCTCGAAGTCTCCTATTTTGTTCTGTACAATACACACCAACATGTACTAGTAGTCTTCATGCGACTGCCTGTGTGAGGTCCGGAGCGAAACTCAGAACATAACAGCACGAGCAACTGTTCCGTTAAAAGCTGGAATTTTGTGAACTTCAATTTAGGAGGGTTTGAAATTTTAAACCCCAAAAGATAGAATTTGTTTACAAACCCCTGTTCGAATTAGGATCGACATATGGCCGACATGATTGCGAAGAATTGGGGAAGCAGCTAGAAAAAGTAACTGCGCATTTTCCATGAAGGATTACATTGACAATGTATTTGTCGGTCATTTTACGGAACATACTATTTCACCGTTGCGCCCTGGGGCTCAGTCGGTAGCCCAAACCGGCAGTCGCACAGGAACCGCAAATATATGATTAAAGAGAAGCCAAATACGACAGGGCAGACGGGGCTAACGATTTCTGATTCGTTGGAGACCTATAACCGATTCCAGGTTTTGTATGATCCGGGATCTTAGTGCCATTGCAGCCAGTACGACGGCAGATTTCTGACTAAACTGCAGCGAGTTTAACTTAAAAAGGATAGGCGACCAGGGATGCTGGGCTCAAATCCCAGCCCCTGCAGACTAGCGGTTGGTAAGACTGACTATTGAAGACTAACATAATTGAAAAAGCTCAACCTCAGACTCTCTTTTCTATGCCGATGCTCCTCTTATAAATATTGAGCTATACGTATTGTAGGCGGTGTCATCGCGAGAGCCCTGAACCGAGATGATGGCCTCATGATTAAAAAAAGGAGCAGAGAGATGGGCATTTCCCGCTTATTTGCCTTGATCAGCCAGTCAGAATGCAACTCAAAGTTGTGGAGCACACACGCGAACTCCCAGAAAAGGAGCCCCAAGCAACGTGCTCATCACTGCATAATCGGGTTTCGTTAGGTCCACTGACGGCGGTGATCTCTAGTCACATGATTAAGTTGCGTGACCCAAGCTGGAGATGAAAACCACGCTGCCTCGACGCAGAGGCCCACATCTCAAAAAGGTAGTTGCAGGGCAACTGCAAATTATCAGTCGACACGTCTTCATTGACAAGACTGAGGATGCGAATGTCCTTTTTATGACTTATCTGTCGTCATACGACAGAGATATTATAACCCCAGGACTACACGCCGGCGGTCTTAATTCCAATCATGCGCTTATTCGGCAGCAGCCTAGCTAGTGCACTCCAGGCTCCAGATAGCACCGAATGCAATCGCGAATACTCCTTGGCATAACAATGCCATACAACGGCCAAGCCTCAGTGTTGGCTAGTCGTCTAGGCCTTGTCATCGTGGACTGATGACGAAGAACTTCAGAGGACCGTCATAATCCTTAGTTCTATTTCACAGTCAGGTTGGACTGGCGTATAACTCTTCGGGTACTGTGTGCGATGTATGAAAGAAAGGGTGAAATGCTGAACACATTTAAGATGCTAAAACGTCATGTCTTAGTTGTAGTACAACATGTATTTTTGCATTTCCAAATCCTTGTAGGTTGTACGTTGCCGGAGTGGCATTGTTGTGCTTTGGTGTATTATTTGTCCTTATTGGTGGAATCTGCGTCTCCTGCGCCTGCTGTTCTCGTGAGGCCGCGCATAGAGATAGAGAATTTTCGACCGAAACTCTACAGCAGGTAACTGTTTGTCCTTATGCGGAGCGCACTTCAAAGGGTTTTAAACCCCGAACAACTGCAATCCCTACCACCAGTTTTTTACTGAGTTTTAAGTTTCCGAATTATAGGCTGTTCACCTTTTAGGCGTGTAAAATTAGTCAGTCATTCACGCTGTCAGGATGCCATGCGATACAGAAAATGTGTGCAGTGCATGTGGACTTTGTTATGCTATTCATAATGTTCGCTGTCGTCGTGAATTAAAAGATACTTTACGCAAAAAAATGCATAAAAGCAAGTTTTGTATGCCCAAATAGTAAAACATTGTATGCACTTAAACGTATATGCTTTAAAAAGGATATTTTCGGTTTTTTAAAGTTTTCGAAATATAAACGTTTTCAGGAATCTAAAAGTGTCCATTCATAAAGTGTCGTATGTGCCCATTTATCATAGCTGCCTGTTTAATAAACAAGATATTCGGTATCCATTTGAGCGTTTCATGAGACCTGTGTTGCCTTATTAAATCACATGGAAAAGTAGGATATGTCGTGAACGAAAATGTACAGTTTACAGATTGAAAATCTTAACCGCAAGTACGATGAAAAACCAGGCTCAAAACTACTCGGGATATTAATAGTATTCTAAAGGCAGGCGGCATCATTACAAGCGTAAAATTTAGCAAAAATGTTACTTCAATCAAAAGAACAACAAATGAGCATTTTCCCAAAACATATTTGAATTTGAAGGGACGTCTAAAATCAACACAAAATTTAATAAATATAGGCAGTCATCTTTGCAAAATGCAGTTTTTGCAGCTAAGCAAAAGAAATACTTTCGAGAGCCAGAACCTGTTTTTGAACCACAAGGACGTTGTGAAATTAGGGGTAACTATTCTCGCAATGTATACCTAGTGCATAGAGTAGGTGGGATAACTCATGAAATGTCAGTCTAAATTTCGAAAAGATTAATTAAGTAGGGTTGTCAAACTGCTCTTCATGCAGCACAATTCTATAATAAATCTGTTACCCCATGGTGCCAGCTTTCGAAAGAACTTACGTCTGGCCGCATGCAGATTCATTCTCTGCAAAAATGACCACTTCAGTAGCATGTATGTTTCTTGTTGATTTTTGAAGCCATGAATCATTCAGTTATATTTCATGGAAAATATGTATAAGAATATTTACTCTCCTGCTCATTCAATAAAAACGACGTATTCTTTCGATGTTATATTCAATAGAAGTGTTTGATTTGGTTTTTGAAAATTTTCTAATTAAGAGATTTTACATACCGTGATGGCCGTTCATAAAACGTCATGTCTCTGCATATACCAATGTGGTCTGTAAAGTTAACAATATGCCTTTAATCAACTGCTAAATTCTGTAAGCCCATACGGTATTCTCATAAAATCGCGGAGAAATGTATAGTTTGCCGTATGCGGAAAATATAAGACTTGTAGTTTGGGAACCCTTAATAAATGTGTAACGGCAGGTTGCTTTCAAAATTATTAGGGAATTTAAAGTTTTAATACCACATTATACTCTTTCCTGGAGCGTTTACTTGAAACTGAACTTAACTTTCTACCGGATGAGCATAAGAATAAATATTTTATGCATGCTTTCCATGAAATATAATCAAATGTTTAAGGGCATCGAAAATCAATGAGAAAAAACATGGTACTGAAGTAGTCATTGTTTGCAGAGGATGGTTCTTGCATGCAACCGTCAAGGAGTTTATTCGAAAGTCGGCACTCTGACGTGACTGAATTAGTATAGAATTACACCGTACGATGAACAGCTGTACTACCCTACTAAGTTAATGTTTTCGAAACGAGAACGCATTTCGAAATTGGGACCGACATTTTATAAGCTAGCCCCCCCTACTGCGTATCCGTCACTTGGCAGGGTTTATAAATCTTCTCAGACGATTGGCAAGTGGTATAAGTATTCGAAACATATATCCCTTGCATAAGAAAAAGAATTTACATCGGTTCGGCAGATACCCCACTAAACGTATTTTAACAGGCTAGTACACATGCCGCTTTATTCAAGGGAACACATTGTACGGATCAGTACCTGTCACAATTTATAATATTACCCTTTGTCAATTTAGGCCTAACAATAAGTGAAAGACACTGAGCAGATGTTTGCATTTCGACAAGGCCGGAAAATGTTTGTACCTGAAATGGAAATATTGATGCCATCAATAAGCCTGTGTTTGGTTTTATCCATAAGGTGACGTTCAGTAGGCTTTTAATATAATGCTCAAAATAGGTCCTCAAAATTCACATTTACATTTAAGTACATATTTGTGGGATGTGGTTCACTAATGTGAACATTTAAATAAAATAAAATTCAATGTAGCAAAATCCATCAACTTAAATTTTCTAGCTTTTGACTTGCCAGCAGTACGTTGTTAAACAAATCTCTTTGCGCATTACGTTCAGGAAACGGCTTGCATTTGTGAAAACGATAGTCCCCTTATCAGTTTGAAGTAATGTAGGCACGTAAAGTCCCATTTAGTCGATCTTTATAAGTTCTATAATAATCAGCTTGAAAAGGAACACACGTTCATTTACTCAGCAGGTGAGTTTCAATGCGTGACCTATCCGATCAAAGATCGCAAACTGTGAACTTAAATCGTTGTAGCGCACGAAACGCACATCCCGCAACAAAGGAAGTTATACCGCGCTAAATGTACGACTTAGCTTCAAAATAAGGCATAGTTTAATCTATAAAGTATTATTTATTGACTTAAAAATGATTTTTTTACGAAATTTTACCGAAGTAGAAAACCGACTTCATGACATGCCAACTATTTAAGGCCTAACATACCTGCCAGCGGGGAAGAAATACGTCGCAAAACGACAAAATTGATAGAAAATACCTAAATTTTCAACGTTTCAGTACTTCTTTGATTGTCGTTTAGCTTTCAAAGTTGCCGTACATCGCCAGGGCATGGATACTACCAAGTTGTCTAAGGCGGTTTGGTCTATATAATTGTAAAGCTAAAAATTCAAGCTTCTGCTCCACAGAAAGATGTCTTCACACTTTGTCTTAATTTCTTTTGAATAGTGCAAAAAGATTTTTAATGAAATTTAGCCCAGGGCTGTTGGCCGGAATAAAAATGCTTTGAAGGCCAGGCAGAGGGGCTGATTGTGATCTAAAATATCAGACTATAGTCGTGAGCTTAATTAGAATCATACCTTCTTTGAAAAATGGACAGGAGCATTATCCTCCAAAATTAGTGCCCATTCGACGCTTACAGATGCCGTTGTAATTGAGGGCATCTTTTACGATGTCGATGAACACCTTGCTATTTATCCTCTCTGCTGTTGAACGCCAGACTGGTCGCTCTCCGAATTTGATGGCCATCCAAACCATCAGGCGTCGACAGATCTTGATGGGAGTTTCTTCCCACATATGACTCCCTTGGCCGAATTCGGAGGTTTGTCTAGAAGTAGGACCTCATAACAAACACCAACGCTTTTCCCGAAGAAATGTCTGTGATCAACATATTTTTGAGCAAACAAAAAATGTTCTGAAACAAGTTTTCTAGTAAAAAATGAGCTTTGTATTAGCGTGTTGGTGATGAAGACTAAACATTTTAATTTTATTTCTAATTGTGCGCAAAGAAAACATTCACAGATGTTCTCTATAAATAGCGTCAAAAGGCAACTTATGATAGTTTTTTAGTGTCCGACGAAGGAAATCGCAATCATGCTTGCTTGCTTGTGAACCGTTTAGGCTCACCTTGCGTAGTTCTAGGCCCTGTTTTATCATTCATAATTCTCCAGAGAGCGACTTGGCTAATATTGAAAGTACTAGCTAGCGACTGATGTGGCAGCCGTTCGGCTGCCAGTTTTCGTATCTGCTCAAACTCAAATTTCGATAGGAACTAATTGGACATCTTTGCTGCAAGGCGTGGCAAAGAAACTTGGCAGCATGTAACGCACGATCTACATATAAGTGTTTTTTGCCTACTATTTCCCGGTACAGTAAAGCACACAAAGTCGAACAATCTTATGTCAGCGTTAACGAAGTGACACGTTACAGTTTTGTTAAATTTAATTTAGGAACAGCAATTAACTTTTTGGTTTTTAGAAATAATGTGTTTTTACATACCTTCCTTGATTTTCGTGAACTTAAAATTACGATTTTTATTTCCAGTACGCTCTTTGATATTTTTTCTTGCAACATGAACTTTTACTTATAACGCAACGCGTGTAAATAAGAGGTTTTAATAGGGAATATATATAAGAATATGAAAGCAAGCGCATGTCTGAAGACGTCAAAAATTTCCTAATTAGGGTCCGTTTTTGCTCACTAAAAACTGTATCAGCATGGCCTCTTCATTAGAAAAGGGCTTTTTAGGATTTCAATCAATTCTTAAAACAAAAATAACCGCAAAATATATTGCATTCCATCAACTCAATTAATGATCCCGCAATTTCATTAGTTAGGTCATTAACGTCTAGATAAGGAAGATGCAATAACTGGGAAAACATTTTTTATTCATAAAATTCGCCTATTTACGCATAACTTTAGCCAACCCAGCAGCCTCAGCCGCAGTACCCGCCTCAACCGCAGTACCAACCTCAACCGCAGTACCCGCTCCAACCTCAAAATCCACCTCCTGCCGCCACTCAACTGCCTTACCCCCAGCAACCGCCGTCTTACGAACAGGTCGTGAACATTCAACAAAACCCTGCTTATCCGACCGCACCCTCTGCTCCGGCAGCAGAAGAAATCAAAAAAGCGGCATACGAATAATGTCCTTCTTTGATTGAATGTATGTTTTCGGACAGAGACTGTCCACGTTCAGATATCCAGTACGAACTATTTTGAAGTATATTTCAAAACTCGTAATCTGGCGACTGCCAATAGCCTCCGTGTTTTGAATAAAGCCACAAAAGCACAGGTCAGGTCTTATTATTTTCGCCAAATCTTCACCTTTAAAAAAGAGAATCTATGCTCGTCCTACTGGGCCGCAGTCGGAACACATTAATGGATAAAATATTCTGAAAACGAGTTTGCGGGCAGTGAAATGGAGACGGGGTACAGTCAAATATCCCAGTGATTGAAAAATCAATAAAAGGCAATGCTGTTACTACTGGGCCGCAACCTGAAAATCTTTATGGATAACAAAATGCCTGGCAGATAGAGGAGTAAGAAATGTTTTTGCTTCGGCAGGCCCGATTGCGGATCCAACGTATAATATATTGGTTTAGTGACTTTTCAGTCTCGCAGCATAATTCGCCACTCCGCACCAGATGGTCCGTTATGGGAATCGGGTTCCTTCTGTCCATAACCGCATAGGTTTTAACGAGGCGGTTGTATGGTTTTATACGATAAACATCAGAGTTTCGAAAAGTTTGCAAAATTGTTGTCTTGCGTGCTCAATAGCCACTCAAAGTCCCCAGGGAATCAAAACAAATAGACAGGTAATCAAGTATGACAAATACACCCTCACGATAGACATACACCGCGTGTCCTACGAGAAAGTGCAGAATCGGTAACTTGCTGCCAAATTAGTTCATGGTGAGACGGACTTGCGAGGAATATACTGCACTCATGTTGGGGTAGTCCCAAGTGAATGACAAAGCTAAAGAACCCGTCCACGCGTACCACACACCAGCTGATCCACTGTATAAACCTAGACGGCTCCCCCGAATCCAAATCCGCGGAAGAGCTGCGAAGACCAAATCATTAAGGAGTCACTGTACCCTGTGTTCCGGTCCTTTGAAAGACTCAGTAAACACGTCAAATAGCAATCTTGCAAGCGCCCGTGCTTGGTTGAAGTTCTGTCGGTTTTATTATATCAAGAAATGCCAGCTTTTCGGTGTGCATATCCTGCCCAGTGACAGCTTCATTATACACAAGTTGGCCGCCAGAGCCTGTTGAAATTCTATTGATGGTTTCAAGAGCGCGAAGGCCCACGTAAAGGACGTGTCACTGCACACATGTACATCAGTGATCGCGGGCTTGTGTGGATTTTGCTATGGACCAATCAAATCTTTGATTTGCCTAGCTTATCAAGTGCCCAGCCCACGGAGAGTTCAAGTGAACAAGTGGAACATTTACCGGTATGTGGTGAACAGGTCAAATGTATTTTTTCAACGAAGTTGTGATTGTAGGAAAGGTTGTTTTCGCGTCGATAACGAAAATGTATAAATCGTTTTGTGAACTATCACGAAGTCAACAACTAGTGTGTACGAGATCGCCAATCTCCTACTTTTTTAACAAGGGTATAAACGACAGGGAGTAGACTATGAAGAGAGATGGGGAAATGTGGACGGCGCTGGGATTTAAAAATACATCTACATTTTTGCTATCTGCTGTTAATTTTTATTGAATTAAGCCGTTGAACATCAAGTTGCGCACTTACTTCCGAGCACAGAGGCTTTCAAATCACAGCTTAAACCGTAGTATACAGTCACACCCTTAACATCGAAGGCACCGCAAATCTCGCAAACATGACAACCGTGTGCGACGCCAAACTGCCTGAGTCAAGGCTCTGCGGCAGCGTATGCAGCGCAAACCTGTCTCCGACCATCTTCAGTGGAGTTATTACACAAATTTAAACCGCGCCGACGAAAAGTATTACCAAAGCCAGTATTGGTGGGAAAACTGCCGGGCAGTGATCTCCCACTTGCCGACAACAACGATGGAAGTTTCGATAAAAAACAAATCGGCTGCAGGTTATGATCAAATATCGCACGGGGCGGAACTGCAAATGTCGTCCCTTATGATAAATCTAGTGTCATGGCGGCCGCATGCTAGAGGCACTAAATCACTTTTGTAAAGCCCTAGCATCAACTAATAGGGATTAAGCACTAGATTTCAAATATCTTGTGCATAGAAACCTCGTCACAGTGGTTTTTCGGAATTTGCACTTCCTCGTCTATCGGCATCTTTTGGAAAATATAAAAAATTCCTGTTCTTAAAGAAGGCAGCATAAAAAATCCTTACAACTCTTGGTAAAATAGGGTTGTGTTTCCCAACATGATGGACACATTACTCTTGGGTTTAGGGTTAGGGTTAAGGGTAATGGTAAGGTGTTGTCGCTAGGGGTTAGGGTAACTGCTAGGGGTTAGGATTTGCGGTTAGGGTCAGGGTTGGACGCCAGGGTTGGGGTTGGGTTTAAAGTTACGGTTAGGCTTCGGGTTTAGCTTGACTATTTCTCAACCACTCAAAGTTCAACCGCGCATTCCTAATAGCTTTTATTTTGCATACAATTACTTGACCTCGTCGCCCGTGCGTTCCACAGTCCCACCTGTAAAAAACCCTATTACCACTTGTCTTGTATTAGAGGTAACTGAAGTTTTTTTACTTCACGTAGGACAACATTACCTCAACTGACCCAGCTCTTAAATAAAAGATAAAACTTGAAGACTGAAGTTTGTGCCACAAAGCTCGTCTTGGGCCTCTAGGGATATACTCGTTAGCCGAAACCATAGCGGCTGCATTGGCATAAAAATGAACGAAACAGAGTTTTTTAATTCTGACCAATACCCGTGCTGCGGTTATGGCGAGTCGCGCAGTACTTTGTAAAACGTTTCTTAAGGTATAGGGAGGCATTCATTACAGCGGAGTAAAATCTGATTCTTCCTTGGACTTTAGCTCCTCTGTGTTGGTTTTGGTATAGGCGTGGTGTACGCATTCACTAGCTGGTCTCGGCATCACATTAGCTCCAGCGTTTTTTAACTTTTGAATGACGTTTAGCACTTCACTATAATGATAGAAGGTCGGATCATATTTCGCAGCCTAACCTGCAGTAAACAAGCACCAGACGCCTGTCATACGAGACCGGCGATAACAATAAGCCCTAAACTTAACCATTTACTCCTAACCGTAACTTCTTGTCCCAGCTGCTCAACCGAACCCCAACCCTAACTCTAACCCCTAACCCTTACCACAATCCTTGAACTATACCGCCAAAACTAACCCCTAACAGGAGCTGCTACAAAGTAAATTCATACCGGATAGAAACTGGGAATGAACGTTTACACAGCGGTGCTGTCAACTAGCCCCTTATCCAGAGGTTCGCTCATCTCATGCAGTGTTCGTCGAAGGAAAAAGTCGGTTTTGAACTTCCTAAATGCCCGGATTTTTCCCTTTTGCGTATTATAGCAGGAGTATGTCTCTAGCATCCGAGTAGATATTGATTATCTTTGCTTAATTAGACACACACAAAACACATTAATGACGCCTAGGCTGTTTTTTCCATCCAATCCAGTTCATGCTTGTTGAGATAGCGCTGCAGTGCAAGCGTTGCTAACAGCTTACGCCCTAGAAACAAAAGTTATGCCTTGATTGTGTCCCACGCGCTCGGCAACTACACGACGCTAACGTAAAAATGTAGATGCCGCGACTTCGATTGATTGCGCTAACTGAGTTCAGCTGCCATGCTCAGCACTGTGGTGCACGCCCTCCACCGCCCCCTCGTTAACGCAGAGCTGATTCGCCTCGAGGAGATACCGTGCCAGTATGCGGTAGATGAAAAATGTCATGCGCACGTACGACAAGCGCTTCTTCTGACGCGTTGCATTGTGCACCTCAAATGTGGTTTTTGCAGATTACGCAAATGTCACCTGAAAAAGAAAATGTCGTACGTGTTTGTGGCAGTAGTGATACCAATTTTCACAGGGGTTATTCTGATGGGCTAAGCGAACGATTTCTCGGAATTTATAACATGTCAAAAACAGCCGATATGTACATAAAGCGACCACGCGTTAATTCAACTCTTTGTTTCCTGTCGTTATGTGGACATATTAGCTGGTGCCCTTCCTGCTGTAGAGCTTTCTACCCAACCTGACGGTCGACTATCATTTAGGGAAGAAGTACATTATGGCGTATGCTGGACAGATAAGGCAAATATTTTTGACGCGCGGGAGCAGAACTACGCGCGCTTCAGTATTTAGTAGGTGCCCAAATTTATGAAACATAAAACAGCGCTCTAAAACTGGCCCAGATGCATCAACCAAAGCCCCCTATGTACAATAAACGGTTGTGAAGTATGTGACCTACCACATAAAAGATGCCAAAACTTACAAAGGCTAGCATATATATAAACAACTTGAGGCATAAAAACGTAACAATATCAAAATTAATAACGTGTTGCGTAGATATATTGACTTTTTTTAGAAATTCAGATACTAACGTGAACAATAACTGCCCTCCTGTTTGGGTAAGCTTGCGATTTCGGAGCACAGGAAGCCAGTCAACGCACAAAACTAGCAATTAATTGCTACGTTGCACGAACTTGACAGAATAGTAATTCACCGGACTATGAATTAATTTTTTCCTAAAACCCGAAGGCAGCATCTGACATAGTTTACAAAATGTCTCTTTTTCAGTGGTCTACACACTCCGAAATATTTTGTACACTCTACAGTAGGTGAGCTAACTCATGAAATGTCAACCGAAATTGCTAAATGCGCACTGGTTTATAAAAGATGAATTAAGTAGTGTCGTAGAACTAATTATCGGGCATCATAATTTTATAAAACTTCAGTTACGACAGGATGCGTAACCTCGAAAAAACTTTATTCCGACTGCATGAAAAAATCATACTCTCCAAAAAGGACTATTTTAGTAGCATGCATTCGTCACATTGATTTTCGAGACCGTTAAAAATTCACTTATATTTCGTTGAAAACATGCTTACTGATATTTATCCTCCTATTCATTCGGAAGAAAATAACCTCTTCTTGCAATTTTGCACTCAAAGGAAGGGTATGATTTTGTTTTAAAAAAATTCTAATTGCGAG